AAAGAGAGGCGGAAGTTCGGCTGAGATATTGGGGGGGTTAGGGTTCGGCTAATTAGCGCTTATGAGTAGATATTAGTTTTCGAACTTAAGTGTGCACCCGATTTTTATTACTTTTTTTTTTCTTTTGAACAGCTATAGTAGATGAACTTAAAGGGCATTCTCAACGGGGCATTAATTTGCCCCGTTTAAATGGCCAAACTCCGTTCAATGCATTGTGGCCATTCATTTAGGATTGGACCCCACTGGTCCGTTCACACAATTGAATGACACTTATGTGCCTCACTTTTTTTTTTCACTTAATTTTAATGCACTTTGGTGCCTTTTTTATTTTTATTTTTTTATTCTCATTTAATTTTAATCATTTTTTTTTCTTTTTATATGTCTAATTCAATTTTATCTATATCACCCTTCTCAATTATGATAAATTCAAATTTTATTTATATCACACTACCCAATATGTATAAAAAATTTAGGTATCCCGTATTCTTGGCAATAAAATAAACATCAGTTTTATACTTGTTTTGCACCAACAATTTTAGCAACTTCTCATTTTTTTTTTATGTAATCTTAATTTAAGTTATTTTGGTCTTGTAGTATTTTTTTATTTCGTGCATTTAAAATTTATTTTTTTTATTTAAAAATATTATTTTTTTTTTATATTGAGAATGAATATTAAAATTTATATTGAATGAGTGGATAATGGTCTCATATATGTATTTAAATGAATAGATAGGAATGTAGATTTGTGTTTAAATAAAGAGAGATTTAGTGGAAAAATGATGTGGATGAGAGAGTGTGTTATATCTATACTTATATAAAAGGTCATCCTATTTACTAGAAATAGTAGGCAGAAAAGTCAAAGATAATTAATGTTTACTGAAAATAGAATTACATTAATTACAGATTTGTTTTGATATTTATAGGCTTGACATTAAAGATTTGTTATGGGATAAAAATCAGAACCAATTTTTTTACCTTTGCTGGAAAGTCAAAGCTAAGTATAGATTTGTTTTATCTCATAACAACGGTTTAGTTAAAAAAATCCCAAAAAATCGGTTTTAATGTCAAGCCTACAAATAAAAATTTAATCGATTTTAATAAAGCAGATTTAATCGTTTTTAATAATTGTATAGAATTTCAAAGATGTTTATTTATTATACAAAATTAAATTCTAAAAAAATATTTGTGTATATTTTATAAAATGTTTGTACAAAATGTTTACTTTTAAATTTATTTATATAATTTAAATTAATTATATTAATAAATAATATGAACATACATTAAATATTTTAATAACATAAAACAAAAAGAAGAAGAAGACTACATCTATAACTTGTATAAATAATAAAAGTGACATTATATTATAATAAATTTTATAATAAAATAATATGAGTATTATACAAGGAACAAGATTACGTAAAATATTAATTTTTCTTATATCAAGGAATAAATATATATAATGAAATTAAATTTATATTATTATAAACATGTGAACGAGATAATATATTAATTAATTTACGGGCTAGCGCTACTAGACTCATGTTTAATGTTCCGACGAAAAAAATGACCTTGATGAAAAGATGTAAAAAGATAGATAATCAACTCTATTATTTTTTAGGCCTGAATGGACAAGCTCTATGGTCCACTCATTTAATATCTCCCGTGAATCGCGCAAGCTACTTAACGGACAAGCTATGTAGAAATGATTCATTTAATACGTATGCCCCGTGCATCGCACGGGCTACGTACTAGTTTTGATTGAATGAGAGTAGTATATTGAAGAAATTACACACCATTCTATCTCATTCAAAATATATAACACTTTTATACCCCTCAAAGTCTTATTTTTAAAATTACCTAAAAAAGCTTAAAATATTTTCAATTGTACCTAAACACTATGTAACTGTTATTAACTCATTTTCAATAGTAATGAGATATTTAAGTGAGATTAAATATGCACTTACCTAAAAAAGAGGAAACAAAAAGTTAAATTGATTATATCACACGCTTTCTCTCTCTCCCCTCTCTCTATTCGTCTTGTTCTTCTCTCTCCATCTCATCTCCTTCTTCTTCTACAATTCGTCTAACACCAATTGCTCAAATGAATGTTCCACCGTCTAGCCCAAAAAATTGACGAACGAAGAGGACGAAACACCGTCTACCCAAAGTCCCATCACTCGCGCCGCCCTCACCGTCTGTGCCACCGCCACCTCACTTGTCTGTGTACGTGGTCGGTGGCTTTTAGGTAGCAAAATGAGAGTAGTTTAAACATGTGGTGAGATTCCAGTTTTATATTATTAATGGTGTGAGTAGTTTAAACATGTGGTAGCAAATGTTTTTTTTTAGTAGGCGGTCTTCAATTTCACTCATTCTTGACAATTAGTTTGTGATTTTTGGATTGTGTGAAGAGGGTGAAATTTTTGGACTGTGATTTTATTTTTTTTTTTCAGTCGGCGCTTTTCCCTGCTCCTGTTTTGTGGTGGGTCTGCCCGATAGGTCCGTTCGGCGGGACGGCCCTCGGTCCCGGCAGGGGTGCTTGATACGGTTGCACCAATCTAAGCACAACAAAAAACATGTTATTAATTTTTCATCTCCTCATATTTTATCGGTCTCCTTATGATTGAAACTTTGCAGTTTTGTATGGTTTATATTTAATATATTTTCAGTATATTTTTATCCCCTCATATTGTATCGTATTCGTATCGTTCCCCCCTGTTATATGTATGGTTTATATTCAGTATATCTTCGGTATATGTATGGTTTATATTTAGTAAAATCATGGAAAACATATACAATACATAAACCATCATTACGGTTTGTATTGTAAGTTTATATACCGACATTATAATTTATATATTCATTATATATATACCATAATTATGTTTTACATTTTACTATAATCACTGAAATATATACAACACATACACCAATATTCTTTAATGGTATATTTTATGTATATATATTAAACATATACTGAATATATACTAATATAAACGCAACATATACCCACCCCTGGTCACCTGCGTGAATTACAATACATGTTTTTTGTTTTTTATTTTTTGGAATTTGTAATGGAATATACACGACAATTAAGGGTGGAACGTTTTATTTGTATGGTTATTCAGAGTTTATAGTTAGTATATTTTCAGTATATTCTCAAAACAGCAATATTAAAAAAAAAGATTAAAATAAACTATATATATACCATTAAAAAAACTGTATATATACCATTAAAAAACTAAAAAACCCAGTTAATGAATTATCAAAGATAAACAAAAAATATAAAATAAAAAATGAACATTTTTTTTCTTGAGGTTGAAATGGACATAGTAACTGCCTTTTAGGCATTAATGTAGTTAAATATAGTCTTTTACAATAGAAATCAAGGGATTGAGGTTATAATGGATATGACAACTCTTTTTATGCATTAATGTAATTAAATGTAGTCTTTTAAGCAAAGACATAATTAATTATATTTGCATAGTAGAGTTGTAAATATTTATGAACCATGTAGGAAATATGAAAATTCCCCTATTGTATTTAGGTTGTGGATACCCTAATAAAATAGCAATTACAACCCAAGAGGTATTAGCACTTGGTCTTGGACGTGAATAATAATAATAATAATAACAATAATAATAATAATAATAATAATAATAAAATAAAAATAATAAAAATCCAATTAAAAAATCAAGTATTAGCACTTGGTCTTGGACTTGAAAAATAATAATAATAATAATAATAATAATAATAATAATAATAATAATAATAATAATAATAATAATAATAATAATAATAATAATAATAATAATAATAATAATAAAAATAATAAAAATCCAATTAAAAAATCAAATTCAACTCTGCAAATAATATCAATTAATCATTCTTACACTTTCACTATCACCTTTAATTCACTATTCACCAATTCATATAATTTTAACCAACAATCATTTTCACTTGTTTTTTTTTTTCTTACTTTTACATCAAATCAACTTTAATTATTTTATTTTAAATATTATTTTAAATATAGCTAAAAAAACCAATCAAATTCATATCAATCACACCCTAATTAACACATTCATTTCAACACGTGTCAGATGCACGGACATTGTCCAAGGAGAAGACAATCGTAAAACCAAAATTCAAAATTTCCTCCATAAGATTTTACTACAACATGAGTGTTGAGTCAATGAATATGTGTAAAGTTATTTATGTCTTATACCAAACATAACTCTAGAGCAAAAACAATATAAAAAACAACTATCACGAATCATAGATTTTCGCCATGTCAGTATCCGAAGCATTAGAATCTGCCACCTAAGCTCAACACGTTTTGAATAATATATAGGGAGGGATTTACTCCTGAGAAGTTCTTGCAAACTTACACAAAGTCAATTATTGATCACAAATTCAACTTCAAGCAGGAAGATTATTACCCGTTGCTCCCAAAGCTGATAGAATAAGCAAAGAGGCGGATCTAAATCCAGGGAAATCAGAGTTCATTGCACATGAAGCCCACAAACTCGTTCTTCCTCCTGAAAGTCGAGACATAATCTGCAAGCTCCAAGTCCGAGTTATCATTAGCCACATACATCACCATTTCGAAACTAAGGCAGAGTCTAGACACAAGTTGCATAAAATATCAACCCGTTTTTAATGGGTAGGGATCTTGCGCATCTAAACACACGACATATAACTAGTATATGAGGTATTTGATCATCTGATGGTACTTCTTAAGGTAAATACAGGACTAACCTGTGTCACTCAAGTAGTACATGAAATTTGAAATGATAACTGAAGCTTTCCATGGTTACATTGGCAGTCTCGTGGCAGTTTTTTGCAAATTATATTCAGAATTATTAATGCACAATGTTCTATGTACATATTGTACAGTTACAACAATGAATTGACGATATGAGCTGCTTTATGTTCCACAAAATAAGTCCAACAATGCCGATCACGTGTGCTGCTCTATCCATGTATCCATATGATTTTTCGCCCTAGCTCCTACTAATCTTTTCCCTGCCTTCAACATGACAAATAAATTAAGTTACACAGCTAGTTTAATTCAACAAAATATAGGGAGTATTGGCAACCTCACCAAAAAAGGTGATTCAATCAGACAAAGCTTCTAGAAGGGAAAAAAATGTGACAGTTTTTCCGACTAAAAGAAGATGAGAATCGTTTTCCCATAGTTTCTTCCAAAGAAAAAAAAAATATATGAATAAAGTGTAACATACCAAATATTGTAGATTTCAGGGGGAACCGCACAGATGTGCCTTTCACTTTGACATTCTTAAGTTGCCTGCCCCAAGGTTTTTCTGATGTTGAAACACGGCTGGTACTTTCACCAGATAAGATATCAATTCCTTTCTTGACCTTTTCATGGTAAAGCGCTGGTGGAGCAAGCCGCAACGGATGCATTCTCTCTATTTGGATCAATTTCTTATCATTTTCAAGATTATGCAAGAGTTCAAACTGTTGCAACCAAAAATACACATGGCAAAGTTTAGAAAAATAAGAATTTTCTTGTATATGAGAACAAAAAGGCAGGAGGAGGAGAATATACAGACCCAAAAACAGCTGAACCATTAGAGGGAGATAATTACAGAAACTGTTCATGAAGTTTGTCCTAATTTAGAAAAAAAATGCACCTAAGCTTGAAACTTCCAAAACCGCCATTGAGGTTTAGTGGTTTTCGTCCACTCATACATTTTGTGTCTGTTGTTAGTGAAGCTAATAGAGTTTTGCCAACAGTATCATGTGTTTCTACAATTACAACTATCAACTTCTCAAAATATTACAGATAACTAGAAAGCATTTGGGGTTATAAAAATATTTACAACAGTTGAGGTATGTGTATCATAAAATATTTGATGATATCAGCAAACTCCATCATGTCGACTAAAGGATAGGGCTAAATGTGAGATGAGATAAAATCTAAAGCAGTGATTTTTTTATTTTTTATTTTCCTTTACTAGAAAAAATAATACAAAAAATAAAAAAAAATAAAAAAAACTCAAAGGTAACTTTTGCATTCATCGTGAGAAAAAGAATCCAGCCGAAACATACCCGTGAAGGCGGATGCAAACAGTATGAGCTATCCAGACCCTCATGATCATGGTGATGATGCAAAGCTGATGTTCCGTGTGCTTGCTGCATCCTCAATGGTGGCCTGCTCACTAATCCATTCTCCACAAGGGTAGATTTCCCATTTGACATTTGCGATTTCTTCGGATTACAAATCGGGCATCCTACTATGGTTCCATTAAATGAGGCCCTATTTTCCTGAACTTCACATTGGACATGCATTGTATGTCCACAACTAAATACTTGAATGCCAGAATCAGGGGAATTATATTTAGCAAGTGGGGAGCTGCAGATGCAACAAAAAAGGTCCCGGGGGGCGTAGCCATGAGAAGCCCCCTTCCTGAGTAAACTCATGGTGTAATATGTATCGTCCTCGATCAAACTTTTTGCAGAGTCCTACAAAAATTAGAAAATCAATGGTTAGAAAGTATGATGATGGTTTTAGATGCTAGGAAATAAAGTTCTCCTCCAGCGACATCAAGCCAAACGATGGTGAACTGCAAAACATAAGAGGATGCAAGCAGAAGTTCAAATGTGAATGATCAATGAACACTATTAAATATGATATCTGCAAAGAACATTAATAACTCAGAGAAAAGAGATTATTCTCAAATTATAACTCAATACTCCTTTCTTCAAAAGATGAACAAATAATCCCTTTTATAATTAGGGTTTTGATAAATACTACACAAGTAAAGATCCTAACGGTAAAATAAAAGATACTATTAAATCAAAAGATTATAATAGAACATATGTAACCTAATCTAGAATCTTATACATTTCTTATATATCTCAATCATAAGACCAGCAACCTAATCTAGAATATTATATATTTATTATATATCTCAATTATTAGACCAGTTAATTGCACACATACCCAACCATTTCAGTGTCATCAGGGAAGAGACAGAATCAAGTTGAAGGACATTGATGAATACACAACTTCAAATTGCATAAATAGCATACAAGATAAAGGCGACGCACCAGAATTTTTCTTTCAAAATCATATGCTCCAAGCATCCCCAGTATCGTAAGTCTGAAATCGCCAAATTCCTGGTTGCTATTATCGGAGAGAAGCTTCGACATGATTTGCGGGAGGCGAACGTACCCAATCATTCCCTCGATAATTTCTTTAATGAATATGGAGAACAGTTTCCTCATCATGCGAGCAACCCTCCCTTGATACATGGAGACTTTCCATTTCAACTTGTATCTTTCTTCATCTTCCACACCCAGTGAACCATCAACAATATCCTTAACTGCTCCCCTTTCAGAATCTGCTCTAGTGTCTCTAGAATCCATCAAGGGCTCACAAAAGCTGTGAAATTGAATGCATACATGTATAAGTTGTTTGAGAAGAAAACAAGGGAAAAGTTCATTTTATAAATACATGTCTAGTTTTGTTGGCAGACAATGCAATGTTAAAAAAAGTTGTATTTGTCATTCTTAGTAGAGTTCGTGCAATAAATAAATATCTCAGGAACCACATCTGTATCATAGATGAAGTATCAAAGACTTTCTCACACAAGGAGTGACTTTGATCAAATATTAAGGAATGATTTGCTTACAAATCAAGCAACTGAAACCAAAGGAATTCAGACTCTTCAGGATTCAGACGGGGGCTATTCCTCTGACACAATCCAACACAGGCATGCACTATATCAAGGATATCAGCTACCTGCAACAATAGTTGAAGCATAATGTTACAGAGATATGAAATTGGAGAAACTGAATCACAATCACAATGGTATTGACGAGGAATTTCAAGACTGGAAATACCACTTTTTTATTCAGAATATCATTGAGACTATTTGCTTCCTGAATCTCAGACCCAAGCACGACGAATTTCTCACCAAGATTAGAAAGAATCAGAAGAAGGGCACTTCCAACATCCCCAACCCTTTCTAACAAAAATGAAGCAGCATCAGTTATGCCATACTTTTGGCACAAACGTAAACAATGTTCCACTCTGTAACTTTCAGAAGTCTCCAAGAATTTGAGAACTGATTCCTGTTCATACCTACACAGAAGCTGCAGAAGTAAAAGCAAAGAAAAAAGATGTTGTCAGTCTTCTTCAACAAAAGCTAAAGCAAAATGGGCAGATATTTCAGTGAATCGGGAAAATATTACTGAGTACGGATTTGACGATTAAATTTTTAATTTACAAGGAAAACAAACCTGAGTAAGAAGGCTAATTACAATGTGTGGAAGGAGGCTAGAATTGGACAAATGAAAAACAGTAACAAAACAAGGCAATTAAACTGCAGTCAAACTGAATCGTATAGAAGATCTAATTGTATTCTTGCAAACATGGCAGGGTCAGGATAACAAGGATATTCTGCTGTGTAATATGTCAAAAGTGGTTTACATATTAAAGTTTATAGTTCTTACCCAGATCACCAGTCAACCAAAAGCTCCCATTCAGATGATGTAACTACTACATTTGTTTGAGATATTTCTATTTCATCAATTACACTACATCATATGTCTAAACCCTCACCTAGGGGATGGTCATACTTAAAGACACTAGTCTAGCATAAAGATATCACGAAATCACAAGCCAATAACAAAAGTAAGCCATTTTTTCCATTTTCCCTTCTTTCTGGATTTCTCACATTTCTTATTTGGTTATTCCATACAATTTTGTTGAGCATGTACATTATTGGGTCAATGATATAGAACCATGCACATAATATTAATTGGAATAATGGAAAACAGAAGGAAAAAGAAAAAAACTGGTATTTCATTATATACATATTGAGAATAATAATCTTCTGGAAGCGTATATTTGGTGGAGTGTATGGTGGCAGAAAAGTATGTAGTAAAATTTATACCTGTAAAATTCTTCCTTCCAAGTTCTAAGCTAATATTCATTGCAAATAAGATCTACTATGTTTATAAAGCACAGATGATACGTATGCTTCAAAAAATAACAAATACAAATTTCATTTATTACTGAAAGATTTAGAGACATATAGAAGTGTTTTACTTAATGTCCGGACCATATCACAGGTCATTCCGTCATTATCAGATCATGCCTACATTAAACAAATTTAAACCTGTAAAAGTTCATCCTTGCAAAGTTCTAAATATAAATTCATTGCAAACAAGATCATACTAATATACAGATGCTGGTACATTTCAAAAAACATCAACTACAAGTTTAATTTACCACTAGAAGATATAGAAGCATATAGAAGGGTTTTGATTGATGTCTGAACCATCTCCCAGGTCATTATGTCAACATCTGATCATCCCTAAACTAACCAAGCAGTAGTACAGGCAGAGTTTGCAATGCACTTGGCACTTACACTTAAATCTTTTTCAGTTACAAACTATCGAGGAATGAACAATTTCAAGAAGTTATAAATGAAAAAGGAACAGTATCCCAAAGGTCAAATTGTGAAGTATCACTTGTAAAGTTCCAGAAACTTTCACCTCAAAATACTGCTCCATCAATTCATCCGTCACATTAACTCGATTGTTATGCAAGAGTTTTAGGGAGCAGGATATTGCTTCCAGATAGGCTTGTACCCTATTTGATTGCTGATGAGCTCTTCTACCACCAGGAAAATCTAACACGTTGACTTCTTCTAGATGAGAGATTTTGAGGGTACCAGTAGAGTGAACCTCAATAACTGTCTTCAGATAGAGGAAAAGACTTTCTGGGTGAGACCGCAGCTCAGACAAAATATATTGCGATTTCCCAGGAAAATGATCAGTAATTAGAAAGTAAGTTGCTTCCCTGCAAAATTTCAAAGTTAATAACTCAGTGAGTGAAAAATAAATAATCCCTTTGGTAAATCAATCACAAATGCACAAAGGTAATCCAACGCCATCAGATGTTACCTGCTCAGTTTCAAAAGACCTGGAATTCGAGAAATAACATCTGATTCAAAAGCATCAAATTCTTCATTACCGAGTAGGCTTAACATCTCATGGGTAAAAGAAAATGCATATACAGGCTCATGGATAGCCTTCATATAACTGTCTAATGCAGCCGCATAGTGATGCCTAATGGCATGGATGTAGCCACAAACCTGCATAAGAAAATAAGATAACTCTTTAGCAGTGAAGAAAACACAAGAATTGCATTACCAGGCTGTATGGTGCATGCCTTTTTCTTTTTCTTTTTTCTTAATATCTGGATTCTTTTTATACACTTCCACTTCCCAGAAATCAAACCAAACACTTACCATCTTTACCCTTGAAAATGCAATTTCCATCTCTCTTAAGTATATTCAGAACAACCTATTCATTTCCCCATTATAATTTATGTAATTTAACAATCGATGCAAATAATAAAAACACAACGTGCCAGATAATGATATTTAGAGTAGAAATTGTTCCTTCAAAAATAAAACATAAGATCAAATTCCATATACACATCTCAAACATAATCTTCAAGTAGCCCATAACAAAGCTTACCACTAACTCGTTTCAAACTTTGGCATTGGTTAAAAGATAATCAGATAAAGGAAAAATGAGAAACAATGAGAGCAACGAAGAACTCTTCATTATGGCACAGTTAAAACTAATTTATTTCATTTCTTCCCCATGCTTTTTTTTAACTACGGGGGAGAAATAAGAACACAAACATGATGTTAGGCACACTTCTTCCTTTCCTACTCTGTACCCAATAGGTTGATGACCTTTATCTCAAATTTAACTACACCACCTGCTGGCTTCCCACTTTTTGTTTCAACCAATGCATGCCTAGTAGTATCCAAAGCAGAAGTTGTAATACCTGATGAAACTCAGCCTTCTCACACAAATTTAACACATAAGGAACATCCCAGTGACTTTCAGGCACTGCTTCTAGCAGGAAAAGCAGTTGCTTCTCTCTTCTATTCATCGTCTCTGATGGGATATCGGAGTTCCTGACATCTGATGTCAAGTACTCCAGAATTTGAGTTAAGATATCCCTAGAAACATTAGCCTTCCCAAGTGTCACATAGTGAGCTATAAAATCATACATGTGGTAAGCATCTTTCCTTGAAGGCCAACGCTCTACAAAATTCACATCATTACTGCATTTAGGACTGTCCACTTGGATTGCATCAACAATATCAGAAAGAATATCCACAACTTTCTGAACTAATTCTTGACTTTCAGCTGATTCCATGTCGAAATTGGTTGATTCCTGGGAAATATCAGTCATTTCAGGATGTTCAACAACTGTCAGACCACATTTTAAAACCTCTAGTGTGGCTTCAGTATCCAATTCTAAAAGATGAAGCACGTTCGTGTGGGCCACATTTGAAGGTAAACTTGAACAGGCCCATGAATTTTTGACACTGGAATCTTCCAAGAGAAAATGCAAAAGCTCTTTTCTAAGAGTGGGTAAACGTGCTGCTGAAAGATTTCCACGCCCTGCAGAAGATTAGAAATCAGTTTTGTTTCAGAAACTGTTCAAATCTATGTTAAGTCCAGCAAGACCTCGTACTTCTGGCCCCAACTTTATTGTGTTATTTCAATCAAAACTTCACAATTGCTTGACTTTGTCAGAATATTGATTTGTCTACATGCACCGGTCAAAATTATTTAAGTTTATCAATGACACAGTAAAAAGTCGTTTAATGGACAATCAACAAACCAATGGTTTCTGGAAGCATCAAGAATCAGTGAATGAGTAGTCACATTCTAAGATTTCCATTATAAGACTTATCAATTTTTCTTTGGCTTACAGCTAAAAAATGTTCAAGACGTCAAATTGATAACAAGTTCAAAGGCATCAAGTTGAAACCAAACCTGGTGGAAAAGCAAGGCCCTGGAAGCAATACTTCAGGTAAACAAGCATCCTGTACCTGCTTCCATGAGCTACAATATAATTACTCGACATTGTACAATGAAGAACAGAACGGGGAAAACATGTTAAAGAATACAAGTCAGAGACATATTTTGTTGATCTATTAGTCAGAAAATTTTCTACACCTGCGAACAATAACAAACTACCAATTAGAGAGGCTTAAGTGCTTCCATACAGGTAAAATGACAAATCATTGAAAATTACCCTAGTGAAGTAGCATCTTCTTTTGTGCTATATCTTAAGACCACCAGGAGCTCCTCAAGAGGTGTCCTAAAATCGTCTAGACCTTTGTTAAACAAATATATTAACGCACAATGCAACCTGTGTTCCCTGCATAATCGGACAATCTATGGTACAATTATAAGATATTTCAGTACCCAAAATATAAAATGATTCATGTAGTTCAAGAAAGAAAGAATTGTACAAAATGAAATTGTTCTATCGGAAGTTGCAAATTGTGAAAACATTGGTACTTCACAGTTAAAACAAGTATATACACTCGTGAAGCAACTATACTTTACCTGATTAAAATCCAACGACAAAATGTCCATGTGGAGGGCACATTGTTCAATTCGCTGCAACCAACCTTTGTCACTATAATGCTCCACAAGTGCTTGCATGATCTTCAAAAAACAATCACAAAATGGATGACCATAGCATCATTAACTACTGAATGCAGAATGTAAAATTATGAAAATATTAAGTATCTTAAGTTAAAAAATACCGCAGGTGGCAGGGATCCCAGCATATCTTTTAGAATGTATGGCTCCAAAAGTTCCAAAAATGTCTCTATAAGGAAGCATAGTTCAACAATGGAATCCAGACATAATTCATCCGAAGGGAATCACAATATAAGATAAGAATAATACGCTAACAGCAGTAACGGTCAGGCCACTAAATTAAATAAGAAAACAAAGTAATTTCAGTGATATTTCACCTAACGATGACAGTACAACAAAATGACAAGGAAACAGAACTTTGAAGCACCTTTCTGGTGTGCATCTTCGAATTTGGACAAAATGTCATCAAAAAGCATATCAGTTCTCCCAATATGCGCACAAAATTCAACTGCCACACCCCCAACACGGGTGTATTGCTCCTTAATCTCGTCGGATTGGCCCCCCTTTACACTTTGACTGTTACATGAAACTGATATGTAGGAAAATACTTCGCTAACATATGACTGAAGCAATTCTACAAGATAGGGCATGAGACTCCTCTGTATTTCATCTAAATTCTTGGGAAGGTCTATAACACCGAAAGTCTGACCATCATAAAGTGCCATTGCCATGTTGAAGGCACCCATCCAGTCACCTGCTTTCCGCAAAACCTCGATTCGATCCTTCCAGGAAAGGAGGCGGGAAACAGTGAGATGCTCGGATCCAAGAATGTATATAGTCGCACCTCTAACAGCAACACTGTTGTGATAAGCTTTCTCAGGGTTTCCCAATGCATTAGCAAAATATATATGATAGGAAATGAGTCCATCTCCTTGATATTCATCCACAGAATAGCTCGTTTGGTGAATCAGATTTCCATCTTTCGAGAACAAATACAGATGTCCTGTTATAGTGAGGATGGCCAACATCTGGAAGTAAAGAAAAGAATGATGCTTTCTCAACCAATTTTACAACATAATAAGGCTTCGTACAACAAAATAAATCAAAAATAACACATGCAAGCAACTGTCAGGGTCAGTAAATCTGTGTGATAAAGGATTACACTTATCATATACACCAAACCTGATCCCCCAACCAAGCCAGGCCTACAGCTTCACTTTCAACTGTCCACTTCTCAAGTATTTTCAGCTTCGAATTCAACAGCTTTGCTACCTGAATATTCCGATCCCAAGCAATGGCAAGCAGTGACACTTTATCTAATGTCTGGACAGGAGTATTTTCTGGGAGGAAATGAAATCAACATCCTCAAAAGGCTATAATAGCCAAAACAAAACATTAAAACTTCAAGCATGCATACCAGAGGAAGAACCAAGTGCCAGTGACATACGACTCCATGCAGCATATGGCATGGCACCATCCCTGACACCATCAGGTTTTGGAATTGTGGCGTATACCTCCACATCCGGACTAACTTTTGCCTTCAGAGAAAGATGTTATCAGAAAACAAAATAAATAAATAAATAAATATATAAATAATAGTAATAATAATAACCGCAATAATAGATTTTAATCTGTGGTCTCCCAAAAAACTCTTACCACCAGAGCAGATTGGTGTGTGATGAATATGACAACACCTTCATCCACTATGCTACTAACACTACTAGCAGACACTGCACTACTACTCTGTGAGGAAGATGCTGAGCCTCCATGGCCTTCACCATAGAGCAATGGAGAAGCACACACTACTCTGCCAGTAGTTTCATCTAAAAGTTTCTGTTCCAAGCATTACTTCGAAAAAATTAATTCTAGGAGTCTGATATTGATTTGTAACAACCTCGTATTCAATGATTAATATTTACCGTTGGTTTTGAATAGGATATCATATTAACCCACGGAACCACTGAAAAACGAATCAGCTTCACCACACCATTGCTGTCACCACTGACCACATTAAATTGACGAGTAACTTGAATATCTTGGCCCAGGTACAATATGTGAACTACTGGAGCTCTGTGCTCAGCAATAACTTTAAGTGCTGAAGCCTTTTGCACATCCCAGACAGTGTAATGACCATCACCATATCCTGCAAGCAGTAGGTCCCCTTGCAGATTAAAGCACATGGAAGTTACAGGGACATGAGATCTATCCCCTTGTAACCCAAGGTACGTCATCTGAAAGTAAATTCATTACCACCATTCAGCAGGCAATAAAAGCCAATTGAGCACATCAAATGTCTAATTTAATTAATAAATCCCAGTGCCCATATGCTGGTATTCAATGTTAACCACTCCCAGTGTCCAGTCAACAAAAAGACTTAACATGAGCTATGAAACAGTTATCTTATTGGTAATTTGGCAAAACACTTGTTGAAGTTGAAGCCCATTTCTAGAAATAGAAAAGATCAGAAAATTTTAATGCTGACCTTGGCATCCATGTTGTCCACGTGATGAGCAGTATACTTGCTTGGCATAACAATAATCCATCCTTTAGATAATCCCACGGCTATATAGTTGAGATGTACAGCCACAACTTGAGGAGACCCATGATCTCGCCTGAAAGCTTGTGACGAGATGGTCCGGGTAATAGTGTTATTGGCATTAACGTCAAAGTATCCTATAACGGTGGATCCCCTGTGTACACCCTCAAGCCTCATCGGCTGTGCAGCCGCACCCTCTTCATAGTGCAAACCTGTAAACGCTTGCTTCTTCTCTATTTCTTCAGCCAAGTCAAGGGCCTTGAATGACGAACCAGACTTCTGCTTTAGTGAAACCAAGTTTTCAACTGTCTCTCCAACATCATTTAGTGAAGTACCATCAGCATCACCAATTCCAGCTTCAGTAGCTATATACCCAGAATTACTCACTTCTTCTCCACCAGATGCATCTTCATCAAGATCAACATCATCCAAGGTTGGAGCTGGTCCAACTGACTCATTCTTTTCACCAGATTCATCAACAGGAAGAACATCAGGATATTCCTCACTTTGTTTAGTCAAAACATGCTTATCCGAACAAAAATCATCTGGAATCAAATTCTTCCTGCCCTCACTTTCAAAAGCTTCCACCTTACATTCTTCATCCTTATCAACCCTCGGTGATTGATCCCCATCAGCTGCCTCCATTACAGTCTCGTAGCTGGTTAAAACTTCAGCACCCTCATCAGAATTCTCTGCAGTGTTACCTTGAACAACATATTGTTCAACCGCATCAGATTTTTCAAACTCCAAATTGCTATCACGAAGACCCACAATAGACCCATTCTCAGATGTTGTAGAAACCACAGCTGACGGCAAGGATGAGGAATCATCCTTTGCGATGGTTTTTTCCTTTGTTTCAGATGCCGAACTTTGAAGAACACCTGTGCTAGCTCTTCTCAACTTGATGGCAGCCGCGTGAGGAGTGGGGACTGACCGAGCTGCGGCAGCAGCAGCCGCCAGCGCAGCCCCAGGCTTGGCATTGGATCTGATCACCCCGCCGCCAAATAGCTGCGGCGAAACCAGGCCAGCGTACTTGTTCCTTCTGCCACTGTTATTGTAACTACCATCAGCTGAATTGTGCTTATCGGAGCTCGAGCTCGAGCGTGGTGACAGTCTCTGGGAGTTGGAACTAGGAATACTCGTTAAAATAATGTCGTCGTCATCTTCAGCGTCACTGGAAGAGTGGCTGAGGAGTATCTCGTCTACAGTGCGGCGGTGGCGATCGGGTGAGCCGGAGAACTGGTCTTCGTCGGAATCAATTCCAGAGTGGTACTGTAGAAGCGAGTCGAGATCAGCGGCGGCCGGCTGTTGCTGCGTAGGCATAATCACTAGCCTTTGTCTGTTCGAATTTTGTGCAAATAACCTTTCTCTTCAACATCAACAAACAATCATATTTTCATGGAATCCAATTTCACCCAATTTCTTACTCTTACGAAGCACAGGAAAACTCCGAGTTACGGTATTCGTAAATCCATCATAAAAGTCCCAATGTTTAATCTGAATAATTTAAAAAAAAAAAAAATATTCTGAATAATTCGGGCTTGCGCCGGCTCAGTACACGGCTCAGTCTTTTTTGGCTTCCTAGCTATTTTTAATATTTATTTTTGGATATTTTTAATAGTTGTTCTTAATAATATTGGCATTTGCAAATTGCAATATTAGGGCTTGATTGTTTATGAAATAATTTGTTCAAATTGAGTTATTTTGGTTAATCATAGTTAATTTTGAAAAAAGTGGTATGGTTAGTTGTAGTTGAATTTTAAGAATGTATTAAAATAATATTTAAAATAAAATGATTAAAATTGATTTGATGGAAAAGTAAGAGATAAATGATTGGAAATGATAGATAGTTAAAATTATGTGAGTGGATGAATAGTGAAATAAAGTTGATGTGATGCGTAAGAATAATTGGTTTGTATTATTTAATTAAATGAATAATATTAAAGATAGTGAGGTTGAGTTAAAGTTGAGTTAGATTTTGAGTTGAAATAAAAGTGAGTAAATTATTTTGTAAACAATCACCCCCTAGTGATCTCTCACTGGCATAAAAAAATATTATAATTTACATAAATAAAAAATATTTTTTAATATAGTACCAAACTCGAAGGAGCCACGTACTAATAGAGCGAGTAAACGCGTAGAGCGCAAGTACCACCTTATACGAGACATTGTAGGAAAATGATAAGTCGTTGTTGTCAAGATTGCGTCAGATGACAACCTGACAGATCGTTTTACGAAGAGCCTACTAGAGAGGGTCTTCAAATGGCATGCGGAAAAAATGGAGTCAGGTGCATGACGACTCGTTAGATTGTTCTTTGAGAATTATGATTGAAGGAATGTATACAAAAATATAGCCAAAAAATTTATAGAGTATAAATGGGAGATTGTTAAGGTATATTGTAAAAACTCGACTTACAGTTTTTGAAAGTACAATTTGACTAAATGTTATGTTTTTTTTTCGGTACAAAGAAGGAGGCCAAAGGCCTAATCAGCTAATGTTCTACGGGAGTATGAAACCCCAATAATGTCGTGGTCAAGCTAAGTACTAAGGCCTGTAGGCGGTGCAGTTATCCTCTGCAGCCCAATAGGACAAAATGCCGCCATGCTCGCTAAGTGGTCGGCTGCGAAATTGGCTTCTCTATGGACATGTCTCACCCTAATGTTCCACTCACGCTGCATCAAACTACGAACGGCCTGAACCAAGATGTCACTGGATCCAAATGTACCGTCTGAGCTAAGCACCATCCGCATAACGCGCTGACTATCGAATTCCGCAATAACCTGGCGGTATCCCTTGTCCCAGGCCAGCTGAAGCCCCTGAAACAATCCCAGAGCTCAGCAGCCATAATGGTGCTTATCCCAATATTCATAAGAAATCCTTCAATCCAACCACCTGAGTCATCCAGAAGTAATCCACCCGCACTACTCAGGCCGTGAGATTATTGAATGTGCCATCCGTATTCACTTTAATCCATCCCGGCTCCGGTGGGGTCCTGTAAATCATACGCGTAATATATACTGCGGCCCCAACCTTCCCGTAAGCATCTTCGGCTCTGCATAACTATCCACAAATTTTAGAAATTTCGGCTTATTACGCGACTTCCATGCACGCCAAACCGTAATAGCGAAGGTGCTACTCCAGTTTTCATTCATGCCCAACCGTAAAGTCGCAATATTTGTACGTAGCCAGCTCAATAGGGGCTGTTGGAAGAACACGATCGATTCCACATAGGCTTGACGTAAGGGCAATCCCTCAAAATATGTAGTATCGATTCGCGTGCACCACAGAAATCGCACGCCTCCTCCATCGCAAGGTGCCGGCAGACACGCTCCACGTTGGTGAGAAGCCGACCGTTAGTTGTGAGCCACAAAAATTGTCGGACACGTTGCGGGGCCTGAGTTCGCCAGAGTAGTCTCCCTAGAGCTGCTCCGAGTTAGTCACCGATGGAGACAAAGATCGATACGTGGATTTTGTTGTGAACCAACCATCCTCCGAGAAACCCCAACATATTCGATCGTAACCATCCTCCACGCGCGGTGGGAGAGACCTCGCTAGCCGGAGTATCACAGACGAGGGAATGAACCCATGCATACAGTCTCACTTCCACCCGCCTTGTTCATCTACAAGCTCGGCCACCGTCGCCCAAAGCTTCATGTCCAGCGTGGTGTGAAGGACGCACCTAATCAGTGGGCCTGTGTTTCGGAGCCCGGGGTCGAGCCAGAATCTGGTCATCACACCATTCTCTACGCACCACCTTAACCCCCGCAAAACACTGGGCCACACCTTACTAATAGATCGAAATAATGTCGAGCTCGGTCTCCATTGAATGTTAGCCAGGCTATGCGAAAAGTCCAGTCGGTACTTCGCCTTAAGCAGCCGCACCCACAAGGCCTCTGGTTTAGTCAACAGGCCCCAGCCCAGCTTCATTAATAAAACACTGTTCATACGCCGGAAGTCCTTAAGCCCAGACCACCGTCAACTTTTGGTTTGCAGACGTTGTCCCATGCAACTAGATGGAGTTTCCTACTGTTAGCTGTCCCACCCCAAAGAAAGGCACAACTACGCTTCTCCAGGCCGTCAGTGATAATAGCAGGAAGCCTAGTAGATTGCATCGCATAAAGAGGCAGGGTATTGAGTACCGATTGATTAAGGGTGACCCGTCCAGCCATTAAGAGCTCCCTCATACGCCAGCCGGCAAGACGAGACTCCGTATTTTCCAAGATATGCGCATGCATTTTTTGGTCACCCGGCCATGAATGATTGGCATGCCCAGGTACTTTCCCAAACTCTCTGTCAACTTGAAATTGAGGGCATCAGCCAACCGTTGCTGCTCATGGGGCCCGATATTGCTAGAGAATAACACTTGTGTTTTCTCTGGACTCACTTTAAGGCCGGAGAGGTAGCAGAAATGGTCAAGGACTTGCTTCAGAACAATGGCTTGATCGTCCGAAGCCTCCAGAAAAAGAAGCAGATCATCGGCAAACATCAAAAAAGGGACTTGGACGGTTCCTCTCCCGACTGAGATTGGCTTTCAGTCTGAGCGGTCTACCAACGTGCCAATAGTTTGTGCCAATCTCTCCATACAAAGGATGAATAGAAATAGGGAGATGGGGTCCCCTTGCCTAACCCCTCGAGAGGGGCGAAATTCCTCACCAATCGTCCCATTCCACAAAACATCGAGGCTGAACTAAGACTCGCCATGGCTGCCGACACTAGCCTATCCGGATAGCCAGCTTGACGCAAGTTCTCTTCAATAAAATCCCACCGAGGGTAATCATAAACTTTCTAAATGTTATGTTTTAGTCAAGTATATGTTTGCAGTTTATTCATTTATTTTACATTCAAGATAATATGGTTCGACATGTCAAACAAAAAAAATCATATTACCGTTGCCTTTAAAATATAAATTAAGTGTTCATAGCCCAGACATAATTGAATTAACTGTCGTGAAAGGTTGTAGTGTGATCTTGAATTAGTTGGTCTTTCATTAATGAATTACACTAGTACATCTAGATGTATTCGATGGACCTTCAGAGGATAAGATTATTTTATACTGACTATGTAAATAACCCAGACCTCAGTAGTTATTGAGTTCTCTTAACCCGGAAGACAATATAAACAAACAAATGTATCTGGAACTTGCTTATTTGATTTACCAAGGGTAAGACTTATTTCGGTAGGTCGGTGGGCTCGGTATTTTTGTAAGTAAGGGTCGAATACATGATGTGTTGTAGAGATTGTTACGATCATTGTGTCGCAGTCGCCGGGTTGATGACATCTCTGAAATGAGCTCAGGAAAGTTTATTACTTTAAGCCCTACAGGAGGAATTTGTGTTCGACATAATAATAAACTAAGTGGTACTAGTTTCGGATGGACATGTTGATAAATTAATTCATCAGTAATTAAATTAATCAACGGATGTTAGATATTAAAAAAGAGGACATAATTCGATCACTTTTTAATTTGGGGGCTAAATGAGGAGTTCAGTAATATTATTATAGTAATGCTTGATATTATTCGAGTATGAGCAGAGTGAATTTGGCTCACAGTTATGCCCATACTTGAGATCCCATATTTAGCACCTCTTTAGGGTCCCTATTATCGGATATAAATACACAAAGCCCTTACCCTCCTCTCATAACTATTCACGTGAGTTTTCTCGAGTTCTTAAGTAAGAATCTATCGAAATCGAGACAAAAGATGAGAGAAAAATTGTGAGTTTATGGGGTTTAGAAAATCCGACTAGTCGTCTACCATGACAAATAGGAATGGTGGTCGGCCATATAGTACCCAAATGTTATATATTTTGCTATCCTTGCAAATATGTATATCAACCTCATTAGTTCACGACCACCAAACTTGACGTGCACCTCCACCAGCGATCACCACCACCACCACCAGCGGTAATAACCAGCAAACTAGGCGCATGCTGGCGGCGATAGGCGGAGGCTGGTAACGGGTAACTTTCCTACTCCTATTAGTTAGGAGAGAGCATCTTTCGCTGAGAAGTCTTCCTCTGTACCGAAGGTAAATAAAGGAAGAAGTTTTTCAACTTCCTTGGCCATTGGATCCGTAAGTTCAATCAAATCGGATACTGATATCGGCAATGCAGTCTCCCATGGGATCTGCTGTTACTATGATGGCCTAGCTCCCATCTACCATGAGCTCCCATATCATCAGAAGAAGCTTGACTTCCTCTTTTTTATCTTTCATATTGTACGATATGTTCGGAGGCCCTAAATATCAAGGCAACCTTTAATCTATTGTTGGGGAGACTCATCAAGCTGGGGGGAAAGGATGGGTTGTTGCCAACATCTGACT